CGCTCAATTAAGCAGCACAGGTCTAGTTACTATTATCTTTATTTAAGATCTGCATTCTTCTCCAGCGCCTGAGGTTCTCTAGGACCTGGAGTTAACCTATAATCATGAAACCTTAAACCTAAATCTATGAATGGCAAAAACTAAAAGAGTTAACTAACGTTTGCCACTTTTGTATTTGTGGACAAAGCTACCTATTTAAACTTTTTAAAAAATTACAAATTGGCTAAATTGAGAAGGAGAGGTCACAGTACAGTGATAGATAACCGTTTCCTGGTTTAGCAGATCACTGTTTTGTCTAATACTGACAGCCAGACAGCGACTGATTACAGTTTCCTGGTTTAACAGATCACTGTTTTGTCTAATACTGACAGCCAGATAGCGACTGATAACCGTTTCCTGGTTCAACAGATCACTTTTGTGTCTAATACTGACAGCCAGACAGCGACTGATTACAGTTTCCTGGTTTAACAGATCACTGTTTTGTCTAATACTGACAGCCAGATAGCGAATGGTTACAGTTTCTTGGTTTGACAATACAATTTGTCCAATGCCGACAGCTAGATTGTTGATTGGTTTCTCGTTTGACAGATACAAATGTATCTAATCCTGACATACACAGCTTTGTTTTATGCGGACATCTATAGATGACAGTTTCCTCGTTTGATAATCGCTAATAACAGCTATAAAATGACAGTTTTCTGGACGAATACAGCTTTGTCTAATACTGAACTAGACAGCTATAGATGACAGTTTCCTGGACGGATACAGTTTTGTCTAATATACTGACAACTAGACAGCTATAGATGACAGTTTTCTGGACTGATACAGCTTTGTCTAATATACTGACAACTAGACAGCTATAGATGACAGTTTCCTGGACGGATACAGCTTTGTCTAATACTGACAACTAGATAGCTACAGATGACAGTTTCCTGAACGGATACAGCTTTGTCTAATACTGAACTAGGATCTGATCACGATATATTAAGGATCCCGGAGCTGAAGCTGAATGATTAAGTTGTTGATATGATGGAACTAGGAGATTATGAATGGTTTGAAGGGAAGGATCTATACAGAACTAGAGAGAGAACGTGGATCAAACATTAAACCAGGCACGATTCAGAACTTGAAGGATTCCTAGAGAAACAGATATAATACAGTGTCGTGCTCAGTTAAAACCCCTGATTTACATGTTTTCAAATATCAGAATAGTTTTTTTTTCAAATCTAGTTTTTATGATTTTTGAACAATGAGTCCATTTCCTGTATTCCGTTAGAAACCTTTGGATAGTTAGAATAGTTGCTCCGTCTACTATTCAGGATAGAAAGAATAGTTACTCCGTCTGCTATTCAGGATAGATAGAATGTTTGCTCCGTCTACTATTCAGGATAGATAGAAGGTTTGCTCCGTCTACTATTCAGGATAGATAGAATAGTTGCTCCGTCTGCTATTCAGGATAGATAGAACGTTTGCTCCGTCTACTATTCAGGACGGATAGAATGTTTGCTCCGTTCACTATTTAGGATAGATAGAAGGTTTTCTCCATCTACTATTCAGGATAGAAAAATGTTTGCTCCGTCTACTATTCAGGATAAATATAATGCTTGCTCCGTCTACTATTCAGGGTAGATAGAATGTTTTCTCCGTCTACTTTTCAGGATAGATAGAATAGTTGCTCCGTCTACTATTCAGGATAGATAGAATGCTTGCTCCGTCTACTATTCAGGATAGAAAGAATGTTTGCTCCGTCTGCTATTCAGGACAGATAGAATAGTTGCTCCGTCTGCTATTTAGGACAGATAGAAGGTTTGCTCCGTCTACTATTGAGGATAGATAGAATAGTTGCTCCGTCTACTATTCAGGATGATTTGTTTGCTCCGTCTGCTATTCAGGACAGATATAATGCTTGCTCCGCCTACTATTCAGGATAGATATAATGCTTGCTCCGTCTACTATTTAGGATAGATAGAAGTTTTTCTCCGTCTACTATTCAGGATAGATAGAATGCTTGCTCCGTCTACTATTTAGGATAGATAGAAGGTTTAATCCGTCTACTATTCAGGATAGATAGAATGTTTGCTCCGTCTACTATTCAGGATAGATAGAATGCTTGCTCCGTCTACTATTTAGGATAGATAGAAGGCTTTCTCCGTCTACTATTCAGGATAGAAAGAATGCTTGCCCCGTTTGCTATTCAGGATGATTTGTTTGCTCCGTCTACTATCTTCTATTTAGGATTGATAGAATGGTTGATCTGTGTACGGATAAGGATAAAGAATTTCTTTCTTATAATCTTTAAGCAGAATAGGAACAGAATAGATGAGAACGAAACAATAATTACAAATACATAAAAGAAAAGGTAAATAACGTGTGCTCCATATACTGCTAAGGATAGGTATATAACGAGTGCTCCATATACTGCTAAGGATAGGTATATAACGAGTGCTCCATATTCTGCTAAGGATAGGTTTATAACGAGTGCTCCATATACTGCTAAGGATAGGTATATAACGAGTGCTCCATATTCTGCTAAGGATAGGTATTGAACGGATGCTCCGTATACTGTTAAGGATATGTATATATGTGTGCTCCGTAGATACTATTAAGGATAGGTATATAACGCATGCTCTGTATAACTGTTAAGAAAAGATGTAGAATTGGTGCTTCGTATACTGCTGAAGATAGATATAAAACGGGTGCTCCGTAAACTGATAAGGATGTATTGAACGGGTTCTCCGTAAACTGATAAGGATAGGTATTGAAAGTGTGCTCCGTATACTGATAAGGATAGGTATTGAACGAGTGCTCCATATGCTGCTAATGATAGGTATAGAACGGATGCTCCGTGTATGAGTAAGGATAGGTATAGCACGGGTGCTCAGTGTATGAGTAGTGATATGTATAGAACGGGTGCTCCGTGTATGAGTAGGGATAGAATTAGAACGGGTGCTCCGTGTATGAGTAGGGATAGATATAAAACTGAGCTCCGTGTATGAGTAGGGATAGATATAGTACGGGTGATCCGTGTATGAGTAGTGATAGGTATAGTACGGGTGATCAGTGTATGAGTAGTGATAGGTATAGTACGGGTGCTCCGTGTATGAGTAGGGATAGATATAGAACGGGTGCTCCGTGTATGAGTAAAGATAGATATAGTACGGGTGCTCCGTGTATGAGTAGGGATAGGTAGAACGATGACAAGTTAAGACGGATTATGATAAAACTAGTTTCAACCTTGAATATTCATTCTCAATAGATAATGTGGAACATAGAACATAGCTCTACAGTTTAAACACACACAACAATCTACAGTTTTAACACACACAACAATCTACAGTTTAAACACACATAACAATCTACAGTTTTAATACACATAACATTCTACAGTTTAAACACACACAACAATCTACAGTTTTAACAAACACAACAATCTACAGTTTTAACACACACGACAATCTACAGTTTTAACAAACACAACAATCTACAGTTTTAACACACAAAACAATCTACAGTTTTAACACACACAATAATCTACAGTTTTAACAAACACAACAATCTACAGTTTTAACACACACAACAATCTACAGTTTTAACACACACAATAATCTACAGTTTTAATACACACGACAATCTACAGTTTTAATACACACAACAATCTACAGTTATAACACACAAAACAATCTACAGTTTTAACACACACAATAATCTACAGTTTTAATACACACGACAATCTACAGTTTTAATACACACAACAATCTACAGTTTTAATACACACATCAATCTTCAGTTTTAATACACACATCAATCTACAGTTTTAATACACATTGCAATCAAAATATCTAAACACGTAAACACGTGAATTGTGTATGAATTCTATTTTTAAATAAAAAACAATATTAAGATATATTTTTACGTTCAGTTATCAATTCTTGTTTCGTGAATAACATTGTCAATGTAATTTTTAACGATTGTTTGATTCTCGTTTCACAACACTACAATCTTAAAATCAACAAAGATTTTGCCTTTTTCTTTCTTGAAAAGAACAAATCTTAATTTGTTTGTACAGGGTGTCCCAAAAAAACATGGGAATTCAGTGACGAATTCGATATCGTCTTTGTTATGAATTAGCATTGTAATACCTAATTTCAAAAGCCATAATAGTATTATGTCTGCTAGAGTTTATTTTATGAAAAGGGTAAAAGACTGTAAAGATGTGTCTATAATGTCTCCGCAAGATGAACAGTGAAGACGGACAAGTTTACTCAGTTTGTATACAGCAATTTTCTTGTTTTACTAAGTACAACCGTATGCAGTCAAAACATAAACGAACAAAATGTGAACATAGCAGACGAAACTCTTACAGAGTACAGCTTTCTCAGTAGGTATCACTATACTAAAACAAAGAATTATTTAGAAAGGCGATATCGAATTCGTCACTGAATTTCCATGTTTATTGGGACACCCTGTATCTTGCCGATTTTTTTTTTAACCTAGATAAGATTTGGAACTCTGAATGTTAAAACATTTAGGAATATTTGTGAATATTTGTAAGTAAAAATGTGTAAATGTTTGAAAGTATCAATTTGTAAATATTTGGAAGTGTAATTGTGTAATAGAGTCTTTGCCGCAAACTCTGAATTTTTAATCCTTATAACTATGTAACCCAACGTCGCAGACCTTAGATATATCAAACAATGGATTCTGATAGATAAAATGATCCAAGTTTGAACTATCACAGGTTTCCACAATCAGTTTGCAAAGATAAAGGGATTAGAAAATTTTAGTTTGTGGCAAAGACTCAACTCCTTTGGAAGTTTGAATATTTAAATTAGATGGGAAAAATTGAATATACAGGTCGCAATCAACTTTTTTACCTTATTTTCTAAAGTTTTCATGTAAATTAAAGAACATATTTATCAGTTTTTGGTTGATAATAAGTTCAGAAGCTTCTCACCTTCATTTTAATGGATTCATTTATTATTAGATTATACAGCACAGCAGGGGGAGAAGGCAAAACATTTATTAATTATAGGTTTACATTTCAACATTTCAATAGTTTAAATGGATGTATCCTAGTTGATATTACAGTACGGAGCAGACTCACACCCACTGTTCTCTCCTAGGATATTATCCGGGTTGAGTTCTTCTCCAGTATCCATGACGTGCTTGACCTGGGTGAGGAGAGGGTACCTGCTACCGTACAAACCGCTGAAATCATCCATATCAATGGAGAAGAACATGATTCCTCCAAGACCCTTGGTGTTGGCGAACTGTGCCTTGATCTGTATTGAGTCTCTATCCTCGTATCCGATCCAGTACAAGTGCTGAACAGCATATGGAGCCATGTAACATCCGTCCCGAACGATCTCCCATTCAGATTCTACAAAAAATATGAAGGTTTTTGAAACTTTTGTATTTGTCATAAGAGCAATCAAAATGTTACTTAAAATACTCACCTTTCTAATTCCTAATATAAAGAAAAATTGTTAGTATTGAAAATATGTAATGCAACTAAATGCCCATCAAGCCAGATCCTGTGAAAAATTAGAGAAACGGAGTCACTCTTACTAAAACGTACATGACTAGTACAACATTTCTTTTCTATGTTGATTGTAAATTAATTAGAAGCACCGCTTTCCAAAAATGCAGTATAAAATATTTTAATATCTTTGAAACCTTATGGTGTAAACCTTTGAAATTCCAAACTTATATTATTTTAGAGAACAGAATTCATGGTTTGAAATATCTAAGGTCTACAACATTAGGTTGCTCAGATATAAGGAATAAAAATCGGAGTTTGTGACAAAGATTCAATTCTTTTAAAGTAAATTTTCAAGAAAATTAATATTGTTTGTATTGAAAATATGTCATGCAATTATGCAATTATGCTCATGGAGCCAGGACCAGATGTAGATTGTATATTACTTACAATCACTCGAATATAAAAAAATGCAGAATACTATGTACTAAAACCTTGCATTCTTTCAAGATCAGTCTATGAGATATAATCCTTATGTTATTATTACCTTTCTGAGATTGTAGAATCTCATAATAGCTCCAGAATCCGTCTGACCTGGTAAACTCAGCTTTAGGTATAGGTCCAGCAGTTGGACAGTACAGACCAGTATTTGTACTACTATCCACTATAAACCCTCTCCCGTATCCAGCAGTACCTAGAACCAGCTTCTCTGCAGGAGCTCCGTTCTCCAGGTAGTAGTTGATGGTTGCGTTCACATTGTACAAATATCCAGGATGATCAGGATTGTTCTCTTCAACCCGTCCGTACAACGGGGTTTCATGTCCGGTAAAGTTTTCCCAGGTTCCGTGGTAATCATAAACCATGATATTTGCAAAGTCCAGAGCTTCCATTACCTTCGGGAAATCATATCCTGCTTCTGCAATATTAATGTTAGGAGGGGTAGCAGCAGTTAGGATGAATCCTTCTTGGTGTAGAGCTTCAGCATACTCCTGGATAAACACGGTGAAGGATTCCTTGTCATGCTCCAAGTCGGAACCAGGTCTACTACCTGGATACTCCCAGTCAAAATCAATTCCGTCAAACCCGAATCTGGCGACAAAACTTACAGAGCTTTTGATAAAAATATCTCTTTTCATCGGATCTGAGGCCATTTGAGACCACTGTCCGGATCCAGAGTTCCATCCTCCGACGGAAATCAAAGTTTTGAGATCGGGGTTAACCTCCTTAAGCTTGTTGAACCTCCTGTAGCTGTCCCAGTGACAATGATCTCCGTCACAGCCCTGATCCCAGGGAGCAAGATCATACCAGGGATCATAAGAAACTAGTTCCCAGGTACTGTTATCCATGTTAGCGAATGCATAGTTGATGTGAGTACAGAGGAAAGGATCAATGTTGTCGATATCGAACCTGCCTGAACCTGGCCTGTAAAAAGCCGGAGAAGTAGCAAACCACCTTCTTCTCTCCTGCTACTCCTGCTCCTAAAGCAAGTCCTGCTCCAAGCAGCGCAATCAACAGGTTTACCCTAAAAAGTTTTTATTTTTGTAAAAATTTGTCTGTACCATTTTTTAACCCTGCTGCAAAAATCTATTTAATTTTTTATATATAATTATAGACAAACCTTATCATTAGGGTAGATTTAGTGATCAACTGGTAAACATTACAAATTTAAACTTTAAGATAAGGAAGCTTAAAAGATAAAATTTCCATGAAATTACGTGAGAAAAATCCACATTATTCAATAATGCAGTTTTTCCATTCTGTCCGTTGGTAAATATTCCTGGAGTTTATTTGTTGAAGAGATATATTGTAAAATGAACTATTGACCCAGGCTGACTAACTGCTCATAAAGCCCACCTATCTATAACATTTAATACCACAACTCACGATATACCCCTATATGTATATATATTCTTTAGTACAGGGTATATACATATTAACAATACACAATAAATGATTATGTCATGCTGGAGCTCATTAACCTTTAAACTAAACCAGACGATTCTTTAGAACAAGACGTTAATCAATTGCTGTGGACTTAATGAGAGGGGGATTATAAAAAAGAAAAAAGAGGAAAAGGAGAATACAATATGTAGAATACAGAATAAAGAGAACAGAATACAGAACACAGAACAGAATACAAAACACAGGGCACATGATACATCACACAGAAAAGGATACAGGATACGGAATACAGATTATAAAGGAGTAATCTCTGTTTGTCTGTCTGTTTGGATGTCCGATCATAACTCACGAACCCCTTGACCGATATGCCTCAAATTTTGATCGGTGAACTCGGGAGAACCACGGGAATGTGGTTAGCTTGGTTTTGAGATTCTTAGTTGAGTTGATTGACCTTGATAGTGAAAAATTGCTTATTTATGACCAAGTGCGGGTAAACGGCGGGAGTAACTATGAGTACTCTGGGCAACGCTGGATTCCCAAGCTAGCACAGAATAAAAGATGAGAAGATTAAAAGAGACGAGGTTCTAATAAATATTTAGGGACGATCACGTGTCATGTTTCAAGTTTTTGGTTTGAATATTATCCTAATAGAAATATTACAGCTATTACTATTCAGCTGCATACATAGGGCCCACCCGTACAATATACTTCATATTCAGATAAAGGTACAAAACATAGATAAATAAATTAACATAGATAGCTTATGTTTGCAAAATCACCAAGAATTGTACAGTCCGCGAACTCATACTTCTAGGGGTCAAAGTGTACTTCAATGATAAGCGGGGTGGTTTGGTGTTTTAATGGATTTCATAAAAGAGTGAAAAATAACTCCGGGAATGGAACTATTTGAACCACAATATTTCACTGAGCAATATATCATATTGACGAGAACTGAAGAAGGGCATGAGAAGGGCTAAACTAACTTAAATTTCTCTCTACACTACAGAACTCATGTACTCAATGACATAAGAACAGCCAATGTTCACAACCGACCTAGTTAATCTATATCATAGGAAAATCTTCAAAACATCTCTGTACATTTATATCAGGGAGCAAGGAATAGAAGGGAGAGACAACTGACGCGGTTCGCCCTACCATATGATTATACATGCTTTGCAGACGGTACTCCATTTTATATCGAGCTGTTTGGTTTCTTTAGTAGGGCCCCACAGGAAAAATATGTATTGGCTCAATTTTTTAGCTGTTTGGTTTCTTTAGTAGGGCCCCACAGGAAAAATATGTATTGGCGAAACTGGTGAAAGAAAATTGAGCCAATACATATTTTTCCAATATATAGCATAAGATGGAGATCAATGCTTACTCCCAAGATTCACAGGAATGAGACAACATAAGACCCAACTTCTCTAAATGATGATTAACAATCATTGCATAAGTTACAAAAAACAATGATCAGATATTTTTTACAATTTTGATCAATTTGAAAATTCTAATATTTCGGTAGTATGACGTAATTCAAACCGAATTTAGTCAGATGTTTCCAGTACTGAATAAATCTTGTTGCTATGAGACCTCAAATTTTCCTTCTAATCTCTATACAGTGTAACCCACAAAGAATAAGATTTATTAACGAACATAAATCATTTATTATCCTTTTATACAGGTTCAATACGTATTTTTCTTATTAAAAGTTTTATGCTAATAACAAAATGCTTGTTCAACTGGACCATACAAGCTATGGGATTGGAAAACGACTGTTAGACTCAAGTTATGTTTTTGAATAGTTCAATGAACATATTTGATTTACAAAGCTAATGATAAAAGCAACATAATTACACATAAGATGGATTACATGTCGTCTTTCAATTTTGCAGTTTTAAAAGATCCCCGTACATTGTTAAATTGACATTCTTTAACTTAAAAATTCCTAAGGTCGTCAATGCCGTTCATCTTTGATGTGAAGCTGTGTCTGTGAGAGCTAGATCTCTAAGGTTGAGGAGTAATTACTATGAGAACCTGACAAGGTGAAGAGTAAAGTTAGGTTGAAAAATGAGTTTGTGTAGACCTGAAGTCCTGACAGCTTTAAACTGAAATATTGCTTTACTCATTCATTACTCATTCCGTAACCATAGAATATACTGTATCAGTGTATTCTCATACCTATAGGAAACATTGTACTCTGATACCTGGGTATTAGGATACATGCACCAGGGGTAGGATACACTGTACCCTCATACCAAGGGGTAGGATACACTGTACCCTAATACCAGGGGTAGGATACACGTTGTACTCTCATACCTGGGTATGAGGATACATGCACCAGGGATAGGATACATTGTACCCTGATACCAGGGGTAGGATACATTGTACTCTGATACATGGGGTAGGATACACTGTACTCTGATACCAGGGTTAGGATACACTGTACTCTGATACCAGGGGTAGGATACACTGTACTCTGATACCTGAGTATGAGGATACATGCACTATACCCTGATACCAGGAGTAGGATACACTGTACCCTGATACCAGGGGTAGGATACACTAGACCCTGAGACAAGAGGCATGAAAAAACAGGATTCAAAGAACAAGAAACCAAGAGAAGCAAGAATCAAAGAACAAGAAACTAAGAGAAACAGGATTCAAAGAACAAGAAATCAGCATAAATAGGATTCAAAGAACAAGAAACCAGGAGAAAAAGAAATGAATAACAGAAACCAAGAGAAACAGGATTTAAAGAACAAGAAACCAGAATAAACAGGATTCAAAGAACTAGAAACCAGAAAAAAACAGGATTCAAATTGAACAAGAAACCAGAATAAACAGGATTCAAAGAACAAGAAACCAAGAAAAAACAGGTTTCAAAGAACAAGAAACCAAGAGAAATAACAAACCAAAAAAACCAAAAGAAACAGAATCCAAAGCACAAAACTAAGAGAAAAACGATTTAAAGAAAAGAAACCAGGAAAAAAACCCCAAAGAAAAAAGGCCAGGAGAAACAGGATTCAAGAAACAAGAAACCAGGAAAAACACGATTGATAAAACAAGAAACCACGAAAAACAGGATCCAAAGAACAAGAAACCAGGAGAAACAGGATTCAAGAAACAAGAAATCATGAAAAATAGGATTCAAAGAACAAGAAACCAGAAAAAACAGGATCCAAAGGATCAGAGATCAGATGAATCAGGAAAATTACTAAAAAAAAAGAAACAGTATTCCACAAATCATGGGAAAACTAAACTCAGAATAAACCCTTGTACAATTTAATTACAAAATGAATGAATTTCACCATAAAAGGAATAAATGTTATTATAAAATGAATGGCATCAAATGAATTATTTAAATTGTAAAATATATGCATAAGAAGGGTGGAGTGAAGGGACCAAGGCGGGACTGTATAAAGTCACGTTTTCTTCCGTCACGATCCAGAGAAAAATAACATTTACACCATTCTCGTTTATATACGATAGATATAAGATTTCAAGCCCTAAGTTAAAAATTTGACACGCTGCAAAAGAGCATATATATATTATATATACACATGTTTATATATGCAGAAATATTGACGCAAAATAGAATACATTAATACATTTAATAGTAGGGAAATTTAAATGACATTTTAAGGGAAAGAGTGTAATGAGAAAAGGAGCAGAGTACAAATTTACCATCTTAATTAGAATTTATTCATCGTAAAACGTCTAATTTTTATCAAATGAATCCTAAACAAAGGAATTGAGTCTTTGTCACAAACTCTGATTTTCTAATTCCTATATCTTTACAATCCAATGTTGTAGACATTTGACATTTCAAACTATAACTTCTGTTAGATCAAATAATATAAGTTTGAAATATCAAAGGTTTACGACATGGGGTTCTAAAGATATAGGGATTAGAAAATCGGAATTTGTGGCAAGGACTCATTTTCTTTTTCCATAATACTGTCGTCTCAGTTCAACTACGTTACCTAGTCGGTCTCTCCCTTCAAGGATAAAGGAAGGAAGTACGTGTATGTATAGAGGAAGGAAGTGTTTAACCCTATTCCTGCTGGGGGGGGGTCAATTTGACCCCCCCCCCTGTAGTATTTTTTACATAACTCAAAAAGTATTGGTCTGAGGCTAATGAAATTTTCTGACTTTTCTTACATACCCAAAGCCCTCCCTTTAGGCCTAAAACCGGGCTTTAATACTAACTGCCTGAGTCCTTAGGCACACTGCCTGAATGACTGATTTTGCCTGTAACAAACTAAATCTTTGTTTTGACCCATTTTCACTTGTCAGATTTTGATAAAATTTAGCTTTTTGGAAAGCCTATGGCATAAGGAAACGGATTACACAAGTTTTGCGAAAAAAATGCAAACTTTTAGCAAACAACCTGTCAAAGGAAATTTTCACATTTTTAGTTTTTCTTGATTTAAAATCAGGTTATTTAAAATTTTGCAAAAAATTTTGCATATTTGAAATGGCATATTCAAGGGCTTTTCAAAAATGTATAATTTTTCATTTTTTGGACAAATTATTTTTTGCAAACATTTTTACTATATAACTGGATTTTGCGATAAAAAATTCAATTTTTGCAAATTTGCAATTTTTTGCAGATTCTAAAAGTAGAGCACAAGAGCTTTCTAATGATGTATCATTTGTCATATTTGGACATAAAACATGGGATTTAGAGGGGGGGTCAAATTGACCCCCCCCCCCCAGCATATCCTGGTTTTCAAGTACCCCAGCAGGGATAGGGTTAAAGATAAAGGAAGGAAGTGTAAGTATAGACTAAGGAAATGTAAGAATAAAGGAAGGAAGTGTAAGAAGGAAGGACGGAAGTGTATGGATAAGGAAGAAAGTGTAATAATAAAGGAAGGAAGTGTAAGAATAAACAGGAAGTCTAAGGATAAAGGAAGGAGGTGTAAGGATAAAGGAAGGAATTGTAAGGATAAGGAAAGAAGTTTTAGGATAAGGGAAGGAAGTGTAAGGATAAAGGAGGGAAGTGTCAGGATAGAGGAAGGAAGTGTAAAAATAAAAGAAGGAAGTGAAAGGATAAAGAAGGAAGTGAAAGGATAAAGAAAGGAAGAGTAAGTATAAAGGCAAGAACTGTACAGATAAAGAGTTCCAGAGGAGAAAATGTTTTCTAAATGTGTTCCCTCCAGCTGGGTTCATTCTACTGTAATATCTGTCCATGTCATCTAATAACAGCAGGGGGGTAATTAGGAACATCTACATCAGGATATTTATATATTTTTATATCCCCGGGATATTATTCCCTGATCCCATGTCCCATGCTCAATTTAAGGCCCACGCAACCTATTCTCTTCCTCCCTTTGCTTTCTCTTTTCTTCTAAATTTGACAATAATAATACATTTTTATTCCTGTTTATATTTTTATACAAAACGTGAAAATCGTGAAAAATCTACAAATTCTAAAAAAAGAAAAACCCAAGTAAATTCTTGGTTTAGGTTTAGATGATTAAATTTGATAAAAGATTTGATCAAATTGAATTTTGTAATCTTTCCGTCAGATTATTTTAAATTCTTTCGTTCGCAGAGGGATTTTAAAATCAAGGACGTTTCAAGTTGAATAAATTTTAAACATGCTTAGATTTCAGCTTACGTGGATTAATATTTGTTGAGCTGATTAAATCTTTGGTTTGTTTGCTGATAATCAGCTCTCTACCCTGCTGACTGATTATAGTCTCCAGGTGATGTATCCTCTGTACTGCTAGTTCATGCTGCTCCGTCAACTCCTCCACCATCTTCTCCTTCCTCCTCACCACCTCCTCAACCTTCTCCTGGAGACCTTGAACCTCTACCTCGAACTCTCTCTTCATCCTTCTTTGCTCCTGAACCTTGTCATGTATCTCCGTCTTGTGAAGGATCAGCATTGAGTTAATCTCCTCTGAGAGTTTATTCTTCTCTTCTGTTAGATTCTCCAGGTTAAGAGTAAACTCCTTCCTCACAACTCCCGTTATATCCTTCCTCTCCTCCTCCAACCTTTCCTTCGTCTCCTCTAGCTCAACCAACCGGAGCTCCAGCTTACTGTTGATGGACTCCAGGAGATGGTTGTTCTCCTCTGTCTTCATATTCTTCTCCCTCATCTCCCCCAGCCTCACCTTCAACTCTTCAACCTCCCTCACCATCTCTGCAATCTCGGAATCATGTTTCATCTTTAATCTCTTTAATCTAGTTTCAAAACTCTTCTCACTGTCCTCTCGACTCTTCTTCATCTCTAGTTCTAGTTTCTCTATTACTCGATCTATCTCCAGATCTCGTTCCTTGGAGAACTTAAACCTGAGTTCAGATTCTCGATCTTTCCATTGTTTCTCAAAGTTCTCGTTTACTTTTCGTTCAAACTCCTTCCGTTCACTCTCCTCGTTTGTTTTAAACGTGAGAAGTTCGTTTGCATGTTTTCTATTCAGAGCTTTCTTCATGTCTTCCATTTCTTCTTTTATATTCTTCTGTTCGTTGTCTGCCTTATCTCTGTACAGTTTCCTGATTTGTTCTGCTTCATCCATCCATCTTGTTCTCTCCTCCTCCTGTTTTCTTCGTTCTCGTTCTATCTCATCCCGGAGCTGTTGAACCTCGTCCTGATGAAAGGATTGAATCTGCTCCGCCTGCTTTCTGAACCTTTCCAGCTGAGCCACCTTCTCCTCCTCAATTATCTCCTTCTTCTCTCTTTCAACCTGAACCCTGTACTGATCAAAGGACCTGGAGAAATCTCGCCTCAGGGTTTGTTCCTGCTCCTCTAGTTCTCTTCTCTGTCCTGCCTTGATATCTGAGAGTTGGGTTGAGTGTTTTCTCATCAACTTCTCCACCTCAAGCTCTAGACTTTTAGCAGTTTGATCTTTTATCTTCTTCACTTTCTGATCCATCCATCTTTCCCTCTTTATCTTATCCGAGCTTTCACTCATATGCTTCAACCTGTTCAACTCTGAAAATAAAATTGATTTCAGATTTTTATTTTAAATTTTAAATTTTAAACTCACCAATAGAGTGTCGTGTTTCAATAGCTTTCAGATTTTCCTTTCCGCGTTTTTCGACAGTTCTTAGTTCTTTTGTCAAATCTTCGCACTTCTCATTTATCAGCTTCTTATCAGCTATCAGCTGATCAATAAATGCCTGGTGACGTGCCACTGTATCCTCGTACTGTTTCCTCTGTATCTCCGTTCTCTGCTTGTTCTCTCTGAGTATCTGGTTTATATTCTCCGAGGTTACAAGGTTGCTCTGCTCCAATCCAGATTTCAGGATTGTTATGGTTCTCCTCTCTTTCTCAAGTTCTAGGCAGAAAGATAAAGACTATTTTTATAATTTTATTCAATTGTTATCATTATTATAATTGTGTACTTGCAAACAATTTAAAGGGCCTGTAAGCGTAATTTCAAGTTTCTTGCGCATTTCTTGCTTTTAAGAAACAAGGGAGAACTCACAGAAAAAAAAAAACACATTTCAAGTCAGAGAAACGACTTTATCTACCACATTTACTCAGATTAAGGTTTCATGGATACCGTTATGAATAGGCCATTGTCATCTTTGCATGAAGAGTATCTTGAAATTACGCTAAAAGTCTCTATAATTGTGACAATGGGGTTAAAAAATTACGTTTACTTTAAAATCAGAACCTCTATTTACTGCGTGTTTTTTCATTATTATCATAATATTGTCAATTTAAAGATGTTTTCAATCAATATTTACCAAGATTAAGATTCATCACTTCCTCTGAAAGATCTGCAACAGATTTAGAAAGAAGATCTCCTAGTTTAGGAATATCAGGGTGTAGACTATAGGATACAGTTTTAACCTTGCTTTTAGTTCTCTCATCCTTCTCTTCACTCTCCGCCAGGAACTTCAGTAGTTTCTGACTATTGGAGAAATCTTGGATGGACGAGTTTGCAGCATAATCCTGGGTTTCAGAACGGGATTCTGATTTCTTGAGACGATCCAAACATTTCTTCTTTAACTTCTCAAGATCTTCATCACTTAATCTTTCTTCCTCTTCCACATCTACATTTTCATCAAGACCTTCACTTCTTTCATCTTCTGGTTTATAGTTTTCTTTGATCTCTTCATCTTCTGGTTTATGGTTTTCTTTGATCTCTTCATCTTCTGGTTTATGGTTTTCTTTGATCTCTTCATCTTCTGGTTTATGGTTTTCTTTGATCTCTTCATCTTCGATGGTTTGGATAAAGTTTCTGATTTTATTTTGGAATACGTCAGAGTTCTTAGCTTCCTGATTCTCTTGAGGAGATTCGAACGTTTGAATCTCCAGATCTCTGCATGTATCTAAATCTCTATTTTCTCCGGTAGTAATTGGATCACTTGTATGTTTTATATTCCTATCCTCTGTCAAGTGTGTTCTCGGAGTATCCTCAAAATGAAAGGTTTCTTTATCTAACTCCTGAACCTGAACTTGCATTCTTGGTTCTTCCCTTGGGCTTTCAACTCCGTCCCTGCTTTGTTGACAGGTTTGGGTCGAGTTAGTTGGAGTCCATCTGTTACTGACAGAGTCCAGCTCAGTTATAATGATATCTTCTTCAATCTTCTTCTCTTCATCTTCAGAATAAATTGATGGATCGGTTTCTGTGAGTTTAAATCCTGTTTTCTCCACTTCATATTTAGCTGCTGAGTAGAGTTGATCCAAAGAGAGGTTTATATTTTCCATCCTTATATCTGGGTAGTCATGGCTATACGGAGCAGGACGAATATCAGAATGTTCCTCATTGTCAATAGAGCAGTAATCTATCCTACAAGGAGAAATACTTTGGGGATTATCTCTCTGGGTTGAGTCTAAATCAGGGGACTGGGTTCCAGATCTTGTACTCGAACTTTTATCCGTGTTCTCATCTTTACACAGGATAGGACATGGAGTGGAGTAATCATTATTCCGCTCTAAATAATACCGAGTCTCAAGATTTTCATCTAGAATATTCTGTGATGAATCTTGAGTTCTCCAAGTAGAAGCACCCTCTTCAAGTTCAGTTTTCTCTCCAGTCCTAGCCTTGTACAGGAGAAGGTCTGAACTCAGAGAAAACTCTTCTGTTATTCCGCTATCCCTCGTCATTGAACATAGATCCTCCATTGCTCCATTATTCTTGGTTTTATAAGAGTATTTATCCTGATGATTGGTCTGAAAAGAAATATCTTCAAATATTTCTTCATTCTGTCCTTCAAATGATAAATCCGTTCCTATTCCGCTATCATTGATTCTATATGAGAATTTAGCAAGTTTTTTCTCCAAGGCTGAATCCCGGGATTCTGTTTTTAATTCCTCTTTTACTCCGCTAACGGTGGGTTCGGCGGAAAATTCGTAAAGGTAACTACGACTCTTATCATCGACTGAGTTAGCACTAGATTCTGAACCATGTACGGAACTTCTGCTAGATTCAGATATCTCATCAGAGAAGTCCAGGCTCGGAACATTTTTTGAGATTTTCTTACAATTTTCCTCTTTAGAACTTTCTGAAATATTTTATTTTAGTTTTTTTTCTGAAGAATTTTTTTATCCCTCACCTTGATTCAAATTCTTCTTTTTTCCTGTACTCATCTTTTTCTTCGTCTTAATCAGCCCGGGTTCAGATTTTCTTCTCTAAATAGAAAATAGAACTGAATCATTCACACGAGAGGCGCAACTAGGGGGGGCGGCGGCCGGGCGCGCGCCCTTCCCTAGCACCTGAGTCTGTTTTATTGGATTCATGGTGAAAGATTTCTCTCTGTTTGTTTCCATATTCCGAACCACAATCTTCAAACCAGAGTTCACCTACGGAAATAAATGTCGTTTTAAACAGTCTTAATATTTGGTTTAGATAATGAGTTTTAGGTCGCTTTAAAAGTCTCAATCTTTTTGGGTATCCCAGTAAAGATTTTCTAATTTTAGATTGATCGAATCGAATTTTGTTACGGTACAGTGATAACCAGAAAACTGTAGAAGACTGTATTCCTTTATATTTTCTGACCTGAACTCCATTGAGGCATAAACTCTGCTCTTCACAATACTTCATTATCGTTATCTTAAAACACAATTTTCACAATTTTTCGAAAACAACGAAATTATTATTTACTAAAATTAGTCCCCCCTCTACCTCAGGAAGAAATTGGCCTTCTTCTCCGAAAATTTTTTATAAGCCTGCTGGTAGAATGTTGCAGGCTTATAAAATGTTTGAGACAGGGTCGATTTTTAAGTGTCGCAATTGATTTTACCGCTGTAACTCATAAATACTTTGCTGTAGCCCTTTACATGTACATGGTAGAAATATAATGCATTTTTGGTTAGATTTTTGCTCAAGAAGTGATTGGCAAAATTATCATCGATTTTTGCTTGCGAGCTTGAGACCTTTTAATAACAGTGGGGGGAAGACGTCCTTTCATACAGTAAGACCCATGAAACTGTGCAATATGAAGACGACTGTTAGACTCATTTTTTCCATTATTACACACAGACCCACACCACTTCACAAGTAGATTTTCAAGCCACAAATAACATGGCTGAAATGTCGTCTTCCTATTACACAGTTTTATTAGTCTCAATGAAGAAAATATTAGTTTAAAAATATAATACGTAATATATTTCTATTCTCCGGTTTAACTGTCCCTACTCCAGGGTGTATACCTGTATACGCATCAGGAATGTAGAATCAATATTTCTATTCCTTGAGTTTAGATTGATCAATATCCCCGTACAAACTTTAACCGAGGCAGGAGGAGCATATATACATGACTCATTTAATATGCTACAGGGAGTTAATATAAGATGACGACTTTGAATTCGTCTTTAATTAAACGCAGCATTCAAGTACTGACAGTAATAGACAGTAACAGTCACAACAATCCAGCCAGCTGTAAAACGTATATGTATCGATTGTCGAATTTAAAGTTTCGCAACCCCTTGGTCTTAGGATTACTTATAGTTTTTGAAATGACAGCGTAGTTGTTTTTGGCATTAGATTAAAAGGAGTAGTTCGCAATATACTGAACGTGTTTCGCTTGAAAGCCTCCACATGTTTTCACGAGATCTAAGTATATAAAGTAGTAATGTCTGTTTGTTTCTTTGGAAGTCCGATAAAAACTCAATCCATTTGTCTCAAATTTAGATTGGGGAACTGGGTTCTAAGCTGGGTTTTAAAGTTTTAAATTGAGTGGGTTGAATTTTGTTTCCAGGAAGAGCTGGGTTCCCAAGTTAGTGATCAATAAAACTGTATATGTTCTATCAAAAACACTTTCGATTTTGCCATTTAATTCTTATTTCTATTATTTTTTAATCAATTATTTTATTCTTAACTTTTACTCTCTCTTAATGTAAAATAACCAGGGTTTTCAACGTTCAATTCCATGACACTGTGACTATACAGGATTACCCACAAAAAAATGAGATTTAGGATACGGCTTAACGTAATCTTTACATCCTTGTATCCTAAATTTACGTAATCTTTACAACCTTGTATCCTAAATTTACGTAATCTTTACAACCTTGTATCCTAAATTTACGTAATCTTCACAACCTTGTATCCTAAATTTACGTAATCTTTACACCCTTGTATCCTAAATTTACGTAATCTTTACACCCTTGTATCCTAAATTGATGGTTCCTTCCTTATAGCTTTATAACTGTTTGTATTTTCGGCCAAACCAATTAACACACCCTTAAAAGACCATACTAAAGACCAAAGATAAAAATTAACCTACTTATATAGATCTTCAGACTGTAAATGATCTTCATTAAATGCTAATCCTTTGTGGGTAACCCTGTAATGATTTGCTGCCGTAAGTTCTTTTTATTTAAATCGAAATATGTTGTAAAATAACGTCAATAATGTCACTGTTTTTGGTTACTAATCATCATTTTTAGTTATTAGGTAGTTTATCATTACTTTATACAGGGTTACCCACAAAGATGACTCTTTTTGTAGGTTGATCTAAAGGTTTAAGGTAAACAGCTGCAGAGAATTTATTTATACAGGGTGTCCCACGCAAACATGACGGTTGGTGAATAGTTTTAAATGTCTTCTCCCATAATTTGTTAAGTTGTTGTGATACCAAATAGAAAATTATATGGCAGTGATTAAAGTATAGTAAAATTTATTTCAAAGTAAAATATTATTCAAGTTAAACATTATTCAAGTATAAGAGATTTTCTTGCGACACAAACTATTTAATATCTAATACAGTATATGGAAGAAGACATTCAAAACTATTCACCAATTGTCATGTTTCGTGGGACATCCTGAATCAATTCAGTCGTCGTTGAAGTCACATACTTTGCGTATAACCCTGTAAGTGTATAAAGCTGAAATATAAAGAATATAAGATAAAATACCATTAACACTGAACAATATATTTATAATTACAAAATAAACACATATTTGAAAATTTATGCACGTCTTATTTACATAATTCCATTTTAAATATTTTTACAAAAGTTCAATATTTTAAAGCTTAAAATTCAAAGTTGAAATTAAATATTTTGATTAAAAAATTTGAAAGCGTTTTTACAACATTTGGCACGTTTAACAGTTTTTAGTTGATATCATCAGCTTTCTACTTAAATATGATTACAGGAAAAATAAAAAAGCAGACAGGGAAGTTATTAATATATTCACATTGTTAATTATCGTTAACTGTTTATACTGTATTAGAAATTGTCCATTTACAGAAATGATTGAAAGGTGATTGTCTTCAGACACGATTGTACACATCGAATTCATCATTGAACTATAATGGCCGATAAAGCGATTGCACGCAAAGACGATGTATAAAATGAATCATCATAAGCAAAAAGGTTACATTTGACGAAGTGAGTATATACTGTTACAATAAGCTTGTGAATCGAGAAAAAAGTCGAAAAAAACATTTCAATATAAAAATTGTTGAAACCTACTTTACAGAATTAAAAAAAAATGAAAATTTTCAACGATTTCAGCTCCGGGTTTAAAGTCGGTTCTATGATATTAAAATGGTTTTTAAGCTTTTTCTTCTTCTCTAGAACAATATACTTTTTTGCTTCTTTAAATAATTCAGGAAGAATGTTTGGCCCTAAATGGGTATTGAAAATGTTTACAATTTTAATACATAAAAAAAAATATTTGAAAAAGACAGAATGACGAACTCAACAATAAAGTTGCAAATGGAATAGATCAATTCCAATATACACGAGTTCCAATGCTTTACGGTATAATATAAAAAAGAGCATTTTTTCACAAAATCAACTTCCAATAATATAAGAAGTTTTTCATTTTTAGTATTTGTGTAAATGCAAAGTTTCTGCTGAAAGCCAAGTTAAATCCTGAAAGCAAATCGTTTAAAAAATGTAGTCTTCATTTTAGCATTTTCATTTTATGTTGTTTTTTAGTTTTGCTTGATTCATCTTGATTTGATTAGCATTTCAAAGATTTTTGTGACTTGATTTAATTCTTGCATGGCTTTGATTTTACTTGATTTTGTATTTGGTTGATTAAACTATGGACTTTATTAATCAAGATAGACTTTGTTCTTGGATTTTAGACTTGTTTTTTAATGGTGTGATTTAGACTTGATTTTATTCTTGGGCTCCAGGCTTGATTTTATTCTTCATTGGGTTTTGGACTTGATTTTATCCCAGGGTTTTAGACTTGATTTTATCCTTGGTATTAGACTTGATTTTATTCTTGGGTTTTAGACTTAATTTTATCCTTGGTATTAGACTTGATTTTATTCTTGGGTTTTAGGCTTGATTTTATCCTTATTACTAGACTTTATTTTATCCCAGGGTTTAGACTTGATTTTATCCTTGGTATTAGAGTTGATTTTATTTTTGAGTTTTAAATTTTATTTAATTTTTGGGTTCTAAAATTAATATTTAGGGGGGTTTTTAAGCTTGATTTTAATCTTAGGCTCAAATTTATATTACAATTGGGTTTAAGACTTAAGGTTTAGACTTGATTGTAATCTTGGGTTTTATACTTTATTTTTTTCTTTGTTTTTAGGCTTAATATTATTTTTGGGCTCTGGCTGTTTATTATTAGAAATTGTCCTTGCTAACATGAATTTTGTTCTTCTTGTGTATTCTAAACTTGATTGTTTTCTTCTTGTGTAATTTAAACTTGATTGTTTTCTTCTCTCTCAGCAATAACAGCAGCCTGCCTTTTATAGTCGGGTCTAAATAGATAAGAAAATTTATTATTCTGGAACATTTTAATTTATAAACATAAACGATATTTTTGCTTGAATACAACATGATTTAGATAAGAACGATCATGTTGTTGTATGTACGATTATGGACGCTAAACGCAACATAGTAGATTTAAGCAAAAAAAGGCTGTAATTCAACTCTCATATTCTGTAATTCACCTCGCATATTCTGTAATTCACCTGTCATATTCTGTAATTCACCTCATATTATGTAATTCACTTCTCATATTCTGTAATTCACCTCTCATATTCTGTAATTCACCTCTCATATTCTGTAATTCACCTCTAATATTCTGACACAAATATTTTGTTCGATTTTGTTTACCCTGATATCACTTGACACTCCTGACAACCCAACACACTTTATTAAAGGTTTCTGACTTTAAAAAGGTTTGACAAAATCTGAAGGGTTTTACACTTTTCAAAATTGTTTATTCTAAACATTAATTTTTATTATACTCCTGTCACAGAAAACTTACTTAGTTAGATTCTATAAAATTAAAACTGATGTTTCAAAAAAAAAACTTCCCTAATGGTAACCGCTGTAAAAAACGCATTTAAGAGTAAAGACTACTTCTGTATAAGAAAACATTTACTTATTGGTAACTGCTTTAAAATACGTACTTAGTTAAGACTACTTCTGTAAAAGAAAAAAAAACTTACTTAATGGCAGCAGTAAGAAAAACTCCAACTAGTAACAAACCAGCCAAACAACAGTTTGCTATTCTATCATCTAGAATCCTAAATATGATGGTTATAAATATTTATTTAAATAAATTATTCAGAAAATTAAAAATATCGTCTTTAATCTATGAGAGTTAAATTTAAAGACAATGCACGCACAAAAAAGGCAAAAAATTGTTTTATTTTCAAGTAAATTTCAAATTGGAATTTTAAACCCTTTTTCAATTTACAAATTTGATTTTCAAGACGATCTTTCTCCAATGGTGATGTCCAATGGAGTTAAGAATATAACCCAACCTGAACATCCATTCTCCGAACATGGTGCAGACTACTCCGAAGGCCTGGGCGGAGGCATTAAGAAGACCGCTGGAGGTTGCCTCCGACTCCGGGTAGGTTATCTCGGCTGCAAATTCAAACCCGAGAGGCAGGTAGCCGGTCATAAAAAATCTAAAATAGGAAATATTATTTTGTTTAAAATCTTCCAGTTAAGGCATGAGACTAAATATGGCACTGGCACTGACACTTACATTGGCCTATTTTTGGAAATGAAACTGGCACTGGACCATCTCTTAAATGACCCTAACACTGGACCATCACTGAACATTAAACTGGCACTGGACCATCACTAAAATGACACTAGCACTGGACCATCACTGGAAATTTCATTGGAAACGACCATCAACGAAAATGAAACTGGTACTGACCCTGCCACTAGCAATAGAAATGGCACTTACAGACACTGGAAATGGCATTATCACTATGACACTAACACTGCCACTGGCAATAGAACTGGAGAGCGCAACCAATATTGCTTTGAAGTGGTGCTTAAACTGGCATAAATACTAACGTCCCATGAAAAGTAAAGTATATTATTTAGATCTTTAAAATATAAACTTACCCAAGCATTGAAGCAGTCACATACACTATCCAGATGTAACCACACCTAGAAAACAAACAGTTCTTCAACTAGTAGTCAAAAATGCATGAAAATGTAAATAACAAACCTTCTTATCAGAATTCTAGGTAAAAGTTACAGGAACTTAATTTCAAATGACTTTCCATGAATAGAATAGAATGTCCGATTCACATCAGCATCCTTAAAACCATGTCTTATATGCATGTGCATCTGCAGGAGATATCCATAATTTTCCATTGAAATCGTGGGTTTAAAGGGAACCGATGTGAATCGGGCATGTCCCTCTTTAAATGGAAGTCAACTTAAAATTGCAACGACAGTCCCTTTAAGAGTTCACTGTACACTGTACAATGTACATATCGTATTTACCTGAAGGTAAAAGTGTACAGTATCATTCCAATAAACGAGCATATGTACACAGTCAAGGTAGTCGCCTAAAATGTTAACAAAATGTAGAATTTTATTAAAAAATATAGAAATTAACAAAATGCAAGAAATTAGCAAAATGTAGTTTTTACAAAATGCAGAATTTGGACAATATGTAGAATTTTAACTAAAAAATGTAGAACTTTAACAAAAATGTAAAACAAAAATGTAGAATTTTAACAAAAATGTAGAGTTTTAACAAAATATAAAAACTTTCACTAAATGAAGAGTTTAGAAAAAATATAGAATAAAATATAATTTTTTTAACTTTTGAATTTTTCAACCTTAAACTGATGAGTTTTATCCAGAATAATTCCACAGAGCATTGAACCAGCCATTCCACTTAGAACTATCACTAAACCTATCCACCCAGCATCCTCAGTTACTCCCTAGATTCATTAGTTTATTCCTAGATACTCCCTAGATTCATTAGTTTATTCCTAGATACTCCCTAGATTCATTAGTTTATTCCTAGATACTCCCTAGATTCATTAGTTTATTCCTTGATACTCCCTAGATTCATTAGTTTATTACTAAATACTCCCTAGATTCATTAGTTTATTACTAAATACTCCCTAGATCAACGGGATTAATTTATTTCTATAGATTTTCCATTCTAGGACACTACATAGATTTGGGAATAATATAATCCTGAATAATCCCTGGATTGAGTATTAATTGACTCCTTGACATTTCATAGATTTAGGATTAATCTAATCCTGACACTACCTAAATTTGGGACTAATTGACTAATTGATATTTCAAGATTTAGGATTAATCAATTCCGGGATACTTCCAAGGTTTAGGATTAAGTTACTCCTGGACACTTCCTTTATTTGGGATTTTAAAAGTATTGTAAACGAAATCTAAAATGACCCTATATAAATATATACTCATAAGCGATTCTCAAAGATGCTCTATATCACCTATTAAACCTCTTTACTTCGAATTTATATTGGATGTCGGGAAGGTTTACAGGGTACCTTTGTGAATCGATAATGATAACTTTCATGAATCCCAATATTTAAGTTGAAGAGTACCTCATAATGGAAATGTTTTACGACAGTACTGTTGAGAAGTGTTGAAATAGCGTAGAATACTCCTACATTCATACCATAGGTCAATAGGAGTAGGATATATCCACGGTTTCGGAGCAGATTCCTAGATATTCATTAATTTATTTCATTCATTTTTTCATTCATTTATTCATTTATTCATCTTTTCATTTAGTCATCCTATAGTTTAATAGGAGTAGGATATATCCACGGTTTCGGAGCAGATTCCTAGATATTCATTCATTTATTTCATTAATTTATTCATTCAATTATTCACCTATTTATTCATTCATTCATTTATTCATTTATTCATCCTTTCACCTATTCATTCATTTATTTATTCATCCCATGGTCAATACCAGTAAGAAATATCCAAAGTTTCGGAGCAGATTGTTTAGAAATCATACATGTAAAAGTATGGTTGGTACGGTTTCTTCTGTCCTACAGCATTTCCGTCCTACAGTACTTCCGTCCTACGATACTTTGGAACTACGATCCAACTATAGGTCGGATATATAGTCTATTTTGTTACTCCGACCTACGCAGGAACTGCAGATATTGTCAGTATATATAGTTGACAGTGCTACCATAAGGATCGATGTCCCGGTTGCACACAAATTTAAGATACACACTTTTTGTAGGTCAGATGCACACTTTTGTAGGTCAGATGCACACTTTTTGCAGGTCGGATGCACAACTTTGGTTGGTTGGATGCACACTTTTTGTAGGGCGGATGCACAACTTGAACAGGTCGGATGAACAACTTTAGTATGGTCAGATGCACAACTTTAGTTATAGGTCATATGCACAACTTTAGTTATAGGTCAGATGCACAACTTTAGTTATAGGTCAGATGCACAACTTACAACTTTAGTTATAGGTCAGATGCACAACTTTAGTTATAGGTCAGATGCACAACTTCAGTTATAGGTCAGATGCACAACTTTAGTTATAGGTCAACTGAACAACTTTAGTAGGTCAGCTGCACAACTTTAGTTATAGGTCAGATGAACAACCTTAGTAGGTCGGCTGCACAACTTTAGTTATAGGTCAGATGAACAACTTTAGTAGGTCAGCTGCACAACTTTAGTTATAGGTCAGATGAAAAACTTTAGTAGGTCGACTGCACAACTTTAGTTTGTCAGATGCACAACTTTAGTAGGTCGGCTGCACAACTTCAGTGGGTTGGATGCACAATTTTTGTAGGTCGTATGCACAACTTTAGTATTATAGGTAGGATGCAAAACTTTTGTAGGTCGGATGCAGAGATTTTTTAGGTCTGATGCACAACTTTAGTAGGTCAGATGCACAATTTTAGTAGGTCGGATTTCTGGGCCGAGCCCAGTGCTATAGGATAGGCTGGGGGGGTCGAACGCTGCGGCCACATTTATCAAAATGACCAAGTTAAAGCCGATATGTGGGATTTGGTTAGATTAAGACATTTTCTGGGGCAAGCAATGCAGCTAGGACAGGCTAGGGGGCCGAGCGCTGCGGCCACATTTATGATTATATATTTTCATTAATTAATCCAAGGTAAAATAAATTCGATCCTTGATATTTCTAAAAACTACTTTGATAAATGAATGAATTATCATAAAATAAATCTTTTCTGAATTTAATTAAAGGATTCTATTGATACATCCTATGCTAGCGTTTACTCACTTGATGGACTGAACATAAGATTCCTTGTTTTCCTTCTTATTTTGTTGTGCTCTGGTTGGTGGAGTTGGAGGCTCATTTTTGAAAACTAAAAATTAGAAAATTCAAATTTCAAAAATATTTAAGGTTACCCAGTTAAGATAAACGTTAATAAAACAATTAACAATGGAGTAACGAAAATAGTGTAATCAGTGTATGCTCAATATCTAGTATTAGGGATAGTTCCATTGATGTAACCCCTTCAGTCCTCAGACGGACCTGGAGCTAAGCTCGGATTGCAAGTAGTCCGGCCTATAAACAAGACAACGTATTAGCTCTTTGGTATATAGGTATAGGTAGGACAGGACGGATGATAAGTCGCTTCATGAATATCGTGTGGAGAGATTTATCCATTAAAAGAAAACATGTTTTTAACGCATGATTTGAATGTGTGGAAAATTTGAACGCATTGAAAACTAAAACCACCGTTGGACGGAGATTTCTATTTTAAATTCAAGCCAATAGGCGGGAAACACAGCTTGACACAAGGGAGGAGGAAATAGGATCGGTCTGGACTAAAACCGAAATGATGGTTAGTATAAACATTACGGGAAGACAGAAGATTAACTCGTAGTATCAGGCGAATGAAAAGCAGAGAGTCACCAGAGAGTTCCGGCTTTCCGTGATTCATATGTATCATTTCATTTTTTTTTTACTTTTAAATACATTTTTCCTATACTCTGTAGATTTACTCACATCAGTTTGGCTTTAGATTTCCTTTATTTCATACCACTTTTAAATGGTAACAATTAGTTATAATAATAGTAAAAATAATAATATAATATTAATAATAATGATGATGATGCTATCAATTATGACAACAATTATACTAAAATGACCTAATTATAATTATTAGCATAAAATAAATATGTTATTTTATAATAGAAAAATAATGATATTTACATATGACAATAAGAACGAAGAGAATGGAAGTATAGATTGCAACAACCAAGAACATAGTGTATAGATCATCTCCTGAACTCAACAACCATAATTTATAAATCAAAAAAATAACTCAATGCGGGGATTTTACTTTTTAGTTTATTTTCACACTTTGTGGTAAAAAAAGTAACAAATGTTTATGTTTTCGTTCAAAAGCCTAAGCAATGGACTTTTTTGCGTTTGCTAGAAAAAAATTTGAAGAGGTAATTTTTGGCATTAAAGTGTGGTTTGGTAATAAAGGATTAAAGGGAGTTTTCGCGAAACATGAAAGGGGGTATAGGCTTACGTCGAAAAATATTCTATGGTAATTGCTACATCTTACTTCTATCTGTGGCGTCTATAAGGAGAAAATTATTAAACAACTCACACCGAAGAACGTAGCGTCACAAATTCAGAAAGTTGTAATATTCAACTGGATCGTAAAAAATCTATTGATTTCCAAGCAAATTATTCAGATATTACATTCTATAATCATCGATTTTTTCGACGCATTCCTATAGTTGATATTTCAATATGTTTTACTTGTTTAGTACACAATATAATTAAAAGGCCGATTATTTGGCTCGATGCTCCTGGAGTTCCATGTAGAAGAGACTCCAACGACACCTAGCCACAAAAAAATCATCGTTCGTTTAAAGTACATCGTTTATAAAGCAAGTAAAACATATTATATAATATCAACTATATACAAATAAATCGAGAAAAAAAGAGATGATTATAGGTTGTAATATCTGAATGATTTGTTTGGAAATAAATTGATTTTTTACGATCCAAGTTGAAAACTGCAACTTTCTAAATTTGTGTGGACACTACGTTTTTAGGTATGTGTTTTTAATTTTCTCCTTTAGACGCAACAGATAGAAGTAAGATTAGTAGCAATCACAATCGAATATTTTCGACGTAAGCCAATGCCACTTTCATTTTCATTTAAGATATGATTTTTCTGGTAGATGATAAAACTTTGGTTTCTATAATAAGAAAATCAATATCTAGTTTTTCAGGATTAAGGATCATCAAAAAGTTTGATTTGAAATGAAGGATCAAGATGTAATCGTTTGAAAAAAGAATAAAATGCGGGTTTGATAATGAAGAATAAATATGTACTAAATATTCATCCACAACAGATCTAGATGCAGTTTTAATAAATAAAGAGTGAACATTTGGTTTCTTTATAAAATATATGGTTTCCTATGAGATGATAATCCTCCTTGTTCTCCTGGTCCTTTACAACAGCTGCTGGAAGAACGAATCCAAGTGCTACTCCCAGCTGGTTTCCAAACACACCGATAGCAGTAGCAGAGCTAACCTGGATATTTCAAACCATAATCATAAAGTTTCTTGAGCCGGGATCTTTTAAAAAGACGGATTAAGTTAAACTATCTCCCTTCTCGCAGAAAGTTTATGCGACATCACAATTTTAAAAACTTCGCAGAGTTGACTTAAATCATAGTTATTTATAAAAGTATAAGTATGTAAATAAAGCTGAAGCTTGCGCTCTACTAATTAGTTGGCCTTGTGACGGACTGCCGAACAAAAGGACGGTCAGAGGGACGGACTGTCGACCAACAGGACGGTCAGAGGGACGGAATACCGACCAACAGGACGGTCATAGGGACGGAATACCGACCAACAGGACGGTCAGAGGGACGGAATACCGACCAACAGGACGGTCAGAGGGATGGAATACCGACTAACAGGACGGTCAGAGGAACAGAATATCGACCAACAGGACGGTCAGAGGGACGGAATACCGACCAACAGGACGGTCAGAGGGACGGAATATCGACCAACAGGACGGTCAGAGGGACGGAATACCGACCAACAGGACGGTCAGAGGGACGGAATACCGACCAACAGGACGGTCAGAGGGACGGAATACCGATCAACAGGACGGTCAGAGGGACGGAACACCGATCAACAGGACGGTCAGAGGGACGGAATACCCACCAACAAGACGGTCAGAGGGACGGAATACCGACCAACAGGACGGTCAGAAGGACGGAATATCGACCAATAGGAGGATGAAGTAAACCTTGCATATTTTTAAATTGTAATACGCATAGTTCTATAAGACATAGATCGAGTTTTTCTCGGTCATTTGGATAAGTAATCAAAACGCTTGAACTTCTGCTTTCTGTGCAGATAATGTTTAACCGTTCCCTCTAGCTACAGGGTGTCCCACGAAACATGACAAGTCGGTAAATAGTTATATAAGTCGTCTTACATATACTTTATTGATATTTAAGGCTTTTTGAAGTTTATTTCGTTAAAAAATGTTTTTTATTCATATTTTACTTTAAAACCAGTTTTACTGTAACATGACTCCCATACAGTATTTGTATCATGTCTTTGGTATCAATCAACTTAACAAATTATGGAAGAAGACATTCTAAACTATTCACCAACTGTCATGTTTCGTGGGACACCCTGTAGCTGCAAGAAGAGAAGAGAATGAGTTTAACACCCTTGGACCTTTTAAAGGTTTCCATCTCTCTATATCCTAGATTATACCTGATGAGCTGGGAACCATGTAGCTGCTAGTTCAGCTGGTATACCTAGAACAAAGATCTGGCTGACCGCTACTACAGTTTGACCGATGAATGTGATGAAAAACTGATCCGGACCAGTGGAAAAAACCTAAAATTAAAAATATTATTTTGATTTAATTAATTCAATACTTCAATTCAGACTTATTTTATAAAACAATTGATATCCCGTTTTTACCTTAATCCAGCTTCCAGCACAAGTACCAAGGGCACCGAGTAGAATCCCAATCCGTAAACCCTAAAAGAACACTAGAACGAAAGTCGTCTTCTTTTTATAATTCAATCAAGGGGTATTCAGAGGGGGGCAAGGGAGCAGTGCCCCACACTGTATACACATGTAAAGGGGGGGGGGCTAACCCTTTGAACTCTGAGGTATCAGACTTTTCAAATCTGAAACTGAAGAGTGAAGAACATAAAAAAATTAGTTTGCTGTTTTTTTCTGCAAGTTTTGTTTGAAGGAGAGATAAAGTAATACTTATATAAGGTAATTGGTCTGTATGTGTACCTTTACAGTGTCCAAAAAGCCAAATGTTTTTAATTAACAGTTTAAATTTTGCCCCCCTCAGCCTTGCATCTGTTAGAGGGGGGCAACAATTTTTTGGCGCCCTTGATTTCAATCTCGCCCAATATCTTTTAATTTTTCTGAAAAAGATTAATACCAAAATGTGAAAAATGTTCCTTGAACATTTATTAGAAAATGTCTGATAGCGATTACAAATTACAACATTACAGTAAGGTCCCTTAATAGTAGTCCACCATTTTCTAGATACAGTTGTGAATAGGGAAAATGAATGATATGAAATTATAATTTTTTATGGATTTTCAGGGTTAAAATGCTAGGTTTAGTTTTTTGGAAGATTAAAATATCTATTCAAACTAAAACACTGTGGATCGCAAGCCACAAATCACAATACTTTTTGAGCTCCGTACAAATACAAAATATATTGCTATAAGAGGGGAGGGGGTTATTTTACAAAATATACATTAAATAAATCTTCACCTTCTTATCAAGAAGCCAGGTTGCTGGGAATATTAAAGGAATGTAGGTGAGCATGAAGATCATACTGCTCCAGTACACGTACAACGTGGACACATCGTAGTACTTCTCCAGGATAGAGGTGATTATAACAAGCTGGGTCCACTACAGTACAATATATGTTTACACTACAGTACATTACATGTTTAAAATGCACTACATTTAATGTTTACACTGCGGTACATCACATGGTTTCACTGCAGTACATTACATGTTCACAATGCAGTACATTACATGTTTACACTGCCGTACATTTAATGATTACACTGCAGTACATTATGTGTTTACATTGCAGTACATTTATGTTTACACTGCAGTACATTTAATGCTTACACTGCAGTACATTCATGTTTACACTGCAGTACATTTAATGTTTACACTGCAGTACATTCATGTTTACACTGCAGTACATTACATGTTTACACTGCAGTAAATTGCATGCTTACACTGCAGTACATTACATGTTTACACTGCAGTACAATACATGCTTACACTGCAGTAAACTACATATTTACACTGCAGTATATTACATCTTTACACTACAGTACATTACATCTTTACACTGCAGTACATTACATGTTTATAATGCAGTACCTTACATGCTTACACTGCAGTACTTTACAAGTTTACACTGCAGTACATTACATGTTTACACTGCAGTACATTACATGTTTACACTGCAGTACATTACATGTTTACACTGATGTGATCCATTACATGTTTACACTGCAGTGCATTACATGTTTACACTGCAGTGCATTACATGTCAACATTGCAGTTTATTATATGTCTACACTGCAGTACATCAAATGTTTACACAGCAATATGTTTACACTGCAATATGTTTGCACTGCAATATGTTTACACTGCAATATGTTTACACTGCAATATGTTTACACTGCAATATGTTTACACTGCATTACAATGAAATCAATTAAACTGTGGAATATGAAGACAAAATTTCACAAATTTTTTTTTATTTTTTTATCTTGAGAATAAGCAAAAAGTTGGAAAATCAGCAAGAAAATGGGTCAGTTAACAATTGCTGTGTTTCTTGTTCATGGGAATATATAAGATCATAATTTGATTTAAACTGTCGTCTTCCAATTCCACAGTTTTCTGGGTCCCCCTAGCTGTAGTACCTGGAATGCATTTGAAGCAGAACACAAGATGAACAGAGTCAATATTAACCATCTGTATGGATACGCCTACAGGTTATTGAAATTATTTTATCAATTTAATTTTTAATGTTTTTATTTCTTTAAACACATATATATGGTTTTATCTGTAGATTCGGCTGTTTGTATCAAATAAATTTTGTATCAAATTTTTTTTTTAAAAAGGGTTAAATTGTTTACGTGAGAAACCAGCATCGAAGCGCCATGTAAGCCTTTTATGAACATTTCGAATTGGAAGATGGATATCTGATATTTTAAAATTTTAAAAATATATTTAAGAATGTTTTATATAGATTAAAATGTTAAATTGTCATACCTTGAATTCGCGTTCTTCATCAACGACGATTTTTTCCTAAAAATAGTTTTAATTTGACAGTATTTCTGAATTTAGAAAAACGGAGCAGAATAAAATCATGACATTCAAAATTCGCCATTTTTTTAGATGATTGCTCACCTTGGCCTCACTGGAAGACATTGTTCAGTCTAATTTTCTATCTGATTTTTGTCCAAGTTCTAAATTCAAGATTCACTACTACTTTTACGTTTTCTATAATTTCTCTAATTTTGTTAACAAATATGTGGAAGTGTCAAATTTTATAATTTTTCTTAGATAAACATTCTTTCTGAAAATAACTTTAATGAATTAAAGTCGTTTAATTTTCTACTTTATCACTAAGAAATAAAAAAAGTAAAGTTCTTACGTTAAAAAAATTTCTTGCTCTTAATTTTGAATGTTGAACTATAGTTTACACAGAGATAGATGTCTTTGATTAGACTTTATCATCCAAGTTAGTTAGTGCCGAAACCCAACTATAGCGTAAACTCGAGTGAAAGTCTCAATTTTCAGCCAAAATAATAAGGATATTCACATCCCACACATCCCACTCTGCACTTAAGATTACGTCCACAGTCCCTTTAATCACTGAAATTACTGAAAATCACTAAAAATCATCTAAAATCATTGTAAATCACGGTCATGATGAATTTTGATAGAACTATATTCTAGGGTTGGGATTGTGAAATACATATTGCTACATTCTTTATCTTCTTAATAATCGGGGGAAGGCAAGCTGTCTTGAGCCACAATATTTGAATATTATATATTTATCTCCATGTCTTTCGACAACCATGACCCTCAAGAGTTCCTTTTAACTACGCCAAATTGTCTTAAAGGGTTAAAATAGAAATTATTAATTATTAAAGTAAAGCATTTTTTTAGTAAACACGTTCCAAGCAAAAAGAATTTCTCGAAGACGAAAATATTGCAGAAAGAAAAATAGGACTGTTGTGGCTCTTGCCTGACGGAAGACAGAACTGTTGAAATGTGGTATTAAGAGAGTTTTGTTGTGGCTCCTGTCCGCTTGCCTTTCTCCCTCTTATCAATAAAGATCAGTATAAAAGATAAAGATAAGATAAGGTACAGCTTAAAACCTGTGAACTGGTTCAACAAATAACTGAAAAGTTAGTTGTTTGTAGGGTAGTGTATCCTATGGTAGTGTATCCTGGGGTAGTGTAAGGTTTGTAGGGTATTGTAAGGGTTTGTAGGGTAGTGTAGGGTTTGTAGGGTAGTGTAGGGTTTGTAGGGCAGTGTAGGGTGTGTAGGGTAGTGTAAGGGTTTGAAAGGTAGTGTAGGGTTTGTAGGGTAGTGTATCCTAAGGTAGTGTAGGGTTTGTAGGCTATTGTAAGGGTTTGTAGGGTATTGTAGGATGTGTAGGCTATTGTAAGGGTTTGTAGGGTAGTGTAGGGTTTGTAGGGTAGTGTAGGGTCTGTAGGGTAGTGTAGGGTTTGTAGGGTAGTGTAAGGTTGTAGGGTAGTGTAAGGGTTTGAAGGGTACTGTAGGGTTTGTAGGGTAGTGTATCCTAAGGTAGTGTAGGGTTTGTAGGCTATTGTAAGGGTTTGTAGTGTAGTTTAGGGTTTGTAGGGTAGTGTAGGGTTTGTAGGGTTTGTAGGGTAGTGTAGGGTAGTGTAGAGTAGTGGTAGTGTAGGGTAGTGTAGGGTAATGTTGGATAGTGTAGGATAGTGTAGGGTAGTGTTTGTAGGGTAGTGTAGGGTAGTGTAGGGTAGTGTAGGGTAGTGTAGGGTAGTGTAGGGTAGTGTAGGGTTTGTTTACATCCTACTCAGGGGGGCTGGATCTTAGCTACCTCTCCGTGTGTATTAGCCTGAGTGTACACTTGGGATATGATGTTTAGAGATTATGGTCCATTCATACAGTACAAACATCAAATATGTAGTACGCTTTCGGAGTAAAAGTGTATGGGGAGGTTTTATATCTTGAATTCTACTCAGTTTTCTCAGAACAGTTTATTATTGATGAAATATTGCTCTATAAAAGACTGTAAATGTACGTCTTCCTGTGAAAATGAAATCCTACACACGATAAAGGAGTAGTTGATTCTAACAGTTACATGGAAAACAAATTCTTCATTTAAAATATTTTAAGAAATCACCCCCGAGTACTGTAATATACAGATTGACATTTGGAAGTGAAGTACATGGCCTGTACAATTAGTAAAGGATCAGAGTACATCATCAAACCATATACTATAATCCTACTGCTACGCATGAGGACAGCTTAAGAACTAGTTTTATTATAAACAAGATTGTAAACCTGGGGCTGAGAAACCACTGCTGTATAAATATCTGTTGTTTACTAACAACAAAACTTATACAAATAAATATATAAAAGGTCATATCCCCTTCTCCATAGTTATAGGCTCCCTTCTTTAAATTTATAGAGAGATTTCTAAATTATCTATAATGATAAAATGCATTAAAGGGAGTGACCGGCTTTGTAAGGCAGTTGAACTGAGTATGCAGCGTTGTGAAAAACTTCTTTCGGATTATATTGAGACATATTAAACTTTTTAAAGATCTGTAAATCCTGAGTTTAAGCGCAAATTCGACGTTTAGAACTCCTTCTTCGGGGGTGGATACGTTTTCAGAATAATTAAGATTACAAAACAGCCATACAGTGCTGGAAATAAAAAAGAAATTATTAAATTTATGTTGCCAAGAGTTGTTATTCCACTGAATGCAAAACATTAAAAATAATCTTATCTGTCTCAAAGTTTCCTTTAAAGAGAAGTATTTTGCTTTCATCTTTAAAGCAGAGTTGCATAAACTAATGCAAAAAATCTGCTTTAAAAGGGCTAACAAAGGTCTTTAATACTTTTAAAATCTAAAAGAAGAGATGAAAATTGACAAAAAAAAGTGAAAACAAAGGAATTGAGTTTTTGCCACAAACTTGTTTATCTAATCCCTATAGATATTTACAACCCAATGTCGTAGACCTTAGATATTTCAAACTATGAAGTCTGTTAGATCAAATAATCTCAGTTTAAAATATCAAAGATTTTAACCATCAGGTTCCAAAGATATAAAGATTTGAAAATTTGAGTTTGTGGCAAAAACTCAGTAACACTTAGATTTAACGTTTCAGACTTTTAGGGATACCCTATAACCTCATCAAAATAAATTCACTGTATTTCAGGGACACCATAAAACCTAAACTTCTTTATATGAAACTACAAAATTTTTTACTTTTTTGTTACTTGTGCTTTTCAAAATTAGAAATTCTAAATATTCAACAGTTATGCTTTGCAAGAGTATAAAACGACTAAAGATTGTAAAATTTGGTGGAAAGGTGGGAAAAAAACAATGAATCAAGTATAACATGTTGTATCAACCTATTTATTTTGAAACTGCTGAATTTCATTGAACTGTAAAAACGTTCAAAGCTGTATTTTCTTCATGATAAAAAATTAGTGCATTTTCTAAAATAAATAATCAGATGAATATACGAAAAAGAATTTTAAAACTTTACGATGCCTGGCAGATTTAACATTTCTGTTTAAATTACAATGTTAATCATAAAACTTAATTTTTTCTTTTTTTCGTTTCTTTTTCACTTTTTTGTCGGTGGATCCGTTTAATATGAAAAAGTAGAAGAGTTCGAGATGATAAAATAGTCGGGATTTCGGTATTTTGAATAATTCTTTGAAAAAAACTTTAAACCAAATCAAGATTATTGACTTAATACAGTTATGTTTAACTTAAAATTACTTATAACTCGATGAATTGTTAAGTTTAAAATACTAGTTGCATGCCTACTGAAAGATTATGTCAAATTAATGTCTAATATATCCTTATCTCTGTGAATTTCTTAAGATTTTTTTTTTAAACTTAATAAAAGAATAATTTTTCCTTACATGTAATTGGTAAAAGGGATTAAAATTTAACTGTTAAAAATAATTTCTGATCTCAGAAATTTTGTTAATATAAGCTCAATAACATATGGAACACATTTCATGATAAAGTACATAAAGGGATTTGTGATGTAATTTTAAGTTTTTCTCCATTTAAAGGGACTGACGTTGTAATTTCAAATGACCTTCCAATTAAAGAGAGGCTCCATTCAAAATTTTATAGCTTTTCAAGTGTTAAATTCTGATAATTTCCTCCCATGGTATCTGCAGAAGTAATGCACGAATCGAATTTTGTACAGAAACCACATTTAAAAATAAGTTTTAAAAAGTAAACATGGATATCTAATTAATACTTGATCAGACAAAGCTTTCAATGATACTGTTGTAAATCGGGCCTTGTCATCTTTGCACGGAGGATCAATTGAAAAATTACAATTACAGTCCCTTTAAGTAATGATGGTTCCAGTCATCAGATTTAAAAAATAAATTTAAATGGTGGGTACACACTCCCCCCCCCCCCACTTGAGATAAGTTCCACAGTCCCTTTAAATAATTTTATGAAACCATTGTGTACTTTATCATTCTTACTCACTTCATCGTGAATTTCATAATGAACTTGAATTAAATTAGCTGTACATTATAGCATGTGTGCTACAAGGTTTGATTGGTTCCCGGATTTTCTCCAAAAAATTTAGGATAATTTTAAAATATTTATTTTTCAATTGAAATGAAAATAAAATTGAAATCAACTTTATTTTTTGAAAGTACACAAACGTTTCATAAAATTACCTATAACACTTTTATTTTGGCACGACGTGCTATAAAGTTTTTGGACTTAAATTTTCTCTATATCTCAAAGGTTCTCGCCTTTTTAGATTATATTTTGTCCCACGCTAAAGCTCGGAACAAAATTAAGTCTAACAAAGGCTTGAAACTTCTCGATAAAGAAAAAATTTCTGTCCAAAAACTTTATAACACTGCGAACCAAAATAACAGTGTTATAATTAGTTACAAACATTTCCATGAGAAAACTGTAAAAACAAAAAAAAATTACGTCAGCTTAAACTAACAATAAAATGTACTCCTAACATATTCCTCATATTATTATTTACAAAGATAATGTTTCCTGTTCAAACAAAAATTTACTAATTTGCAGTGAGATTCAACAAACTTAAAACCTTTGAAAGCTTGCCTTGTTCCAACAGTATTACCTAGTTTTTCAATTAAAAAATATCAAACAAAACCTAAAAACCCCAAGCTTGAATCCAGTAAGAGAAATGTCGTAAATTTTGTATTCTTTTTACGTTTCCTGAGGATCATATCTTTGCATTTACTTTGGCCATATAACAAACATAAAACAAAACTATTGAATAAATGAATAAATTGAATAGATCTGAGGAAGGACGGGGTGAAAGAAAAATAAGTCTCCTCTGAGG